TATCATATTTGTATTGGAGAAGTTGTTTGTAGCAGCTGCAATTGTAGCCAAATCAATTGTAGGCAAGTCTACATCTTCTTTTTGCAGCAAACGTTCTACATCTTCTTCAATTCTCTTGCCTAATAATTTTAATTTGTAAAATGCATACTTGATTTTCAGAAACATAATTAAGAACTTTAGTGATGTTGGAAACATTTACTTACCTTTTAGCCTTTTCCTTAGTTTCCAAGTTATGCACCACACTGCAACACCAAAGATACATGTTCCACTGGTCAACGAAGCCCATAACACGATGTGAAGTTTTTTTTTCTCATCTGCCTCATTAATTGATTCTGAAAAGGACCAAGCAATATAAAGAATTCAAACAATTTGTGCAATTTTAAAGAGAATATATAAAATATATGGACAACCTCTGTCACAAAATAGTGAATCCATACTAACTTATTTCTGAAGCAGATAGTCGGATATAGAGATCCTGATCACTGCCTTTCACATGCTTTTCTCGGATATCAACCAAGTCACCAAACCACATCAAACAACCACTGCCTGCATTCCTGACGTCGGAATTAGCATAAGCTTTGCAAGAACAGTTCTTCAAACAAGCCTCCTTGCATTCCTTAGGGCCCATATTTTTGTTAAACCAAAACTCCAACAAATCTGGCAATTTTACCCCCGCGACCTCCACAAACCCTTCTTCCTTTCTGCAATCCAATGGCGTCTTCCTCGCGCATCCCTTGGACCACGTCAGTGCGATCCATTCTTCTTGAGACCTTGATGTGAAGCCCTCAAAACATTTGCATACCTTATATGATCCTCTAATTATACAAACTGCATTAATGCCACAATAACCATAATTATCGCATAGTTGACCAGTTGGTAACGTGTACATAGTAGCCCATTCAGAACTTCCATTCTGCAAAACAAGATGCTGCAGGGAACCCCAATGATTCAGCTTAAATATTGAAATGACAGAGTCAGTAGTAGTCTCGGACGTTTGGTATGCCTCGTCCTTAGTGAACACAGATGTTATCTTTAAAAAAAAGTAAATAAAATTGCCCTTCCATGCCACTGAGTCGAACTCCATTCCATATTCCAGTGCGAAATTTTCTGGTCGATCCCACGGCTAGTACACATTGAGGTAGCCCACTGACTATGCTAATCCTGTAAGTAACATCTCCAGTTGAT